GGGATCATTCGGCGGATTTCGGTCTCGATTAATCCTGATCTGGCGCCTTGACAACGCGAAGGGTAGGACACAGACGCACACTGCCATGAGAGTTGGAGGGGGTGAGGGGGCCCTCGCCCGCAGCTCAACAAAGTGCCCCCCTCCTCCGCAGCCAGGGCTGCAGCTTCGGCAGGGGCCTCGGCTAATTAGCCGGTTTTACGGGTCGTCGGTCCGTTTCCGGCAGTCCCTCCGTCTCTTTAATCACATTCCCCATAAGAGAAGACGGCAGCCTCGCAAGTGGGAAGGGAACTAAGGGAATGTTCTAGAGACCATTATACCCCGCATTTGGGGGTGGGGGGTGGCAGTACTGCCATAAGCTATTGGCGACAGGAAACGGCAAAACACTGGGGTCAGAGACAGGGGTTTAGGACCGTGGCTTTGTGGCTGTTCCTGCCTCTGTGATGAATCTGATTGGTCCACAGGGTGGTATCTTTATAATTTTTTTTCCATCAACGGAAGCCGAAGGGTAAGATGGAGTGTTCGGGGGGGGTTACAGTCTCAGGCGTGGAGTGTGCTGGAGGGTCCTGGCAGGCTGGGGAGGGGGAGGCCAGAGCTCCGTCCCTCTTTAGCTGAAGGACCTCGACTCTCCTTGACTCTAGTGCACTTTCCACACGGTGTGGCGTGACTCTTAATGCCCAGCGACCTACAGTACACCCACTTGAGACCTGTACCACCGCCTGTGGATGTGTCCAGGATGTCAGTGAACCGATCGAATGGGGGAGGGGGTGCAGGCAGCAGGAATTCTCTTTACATTTAAGCATGTAGGCCAGATAGTGAGGGGGGCAGTGTTGGTTTTTCCCAAAGCAGGGCAGGTAAGGGCCCCAGTAATGGTCTGGCATCGCCTCCCCAGGCTTTAAGACAGAGGTCCATGGCTCGTCTGCGGCTAGGGGGCGTGGTGACCCCATGACATGGCACAGCACATGTGTCAATCATCTTTAAAGAACCAGTCAAATGAGAGTAATTATCGGGCCGAGTTAGAGCTTCGGTGACGTGACGGGGCAGGCCAGGGAAACCGGGAGCACATTCCTTACATAAATAATCCAGGCAGAATAAATTATCTTGAAGTTGCAGGCAGTGGTGGAATGTAACAAAGTATTTGTACTTCGTTACTGTACTTAAGTACATTTTTACGTATCTGTACTTTACTTAAGTAAAAATAATAATGCATACTCCATTACATTTTGCGGCAATTATCTGTACTTTCTACTCCACTACATTTCTACAATTTATGCCGTTAGTCGTTACATTTTATGAACACAATTTCCTCAAAATCTTGCATGAAAAAATAGTTACTGTAGCTTCTTGCGTTCTGGCGTTGTTTGCCATTTCCTACCAATCACGTGGCTTTATTAGCTCCAATGATGGCAGAGCGCGTGAATTAGCCGCACGAGCTGGTAGACTGGCTTGATTTCAAGAAGACGAGACATTCAACATGGACCCAGAGCCAACATCGACTGAGCATGAGCACGAGCCCTGCAGCTCTGAATCAGAAAGAAATCCTTGGCCGTATTTAAGAGTTATTTGAGTTCAAAGGAGCAAAGAATGAGTCCTTGCGTTTTCAGTGTATCCCATGCCTGCCTCAACCCAAAGAATTGTTGGCGTTTAAAAACTCCCCTTCAAATTTGAAGAAACATATAGAGGTAAGCTATGCTATGCTTTTGGGTATGTTATGATACTGTTATCTAGCGAAGTGTATGTTGACATACAGAAATAGTATCAAAATCACACCAGTTTAGCTTCATTATTTATTTAACACGGTGGTAGGATAAAACTGGTTTATTAGCTATGTCAACGAAGATAGCTTAACCCTCTGGAGTCGGTGATTCCGCCGGCGCGATCTAACAGAAATTTCGCCAAACCGTTAAATAAGTCTACGAGTTTTTGTCATATACACATTTAAAAAACACCCTCAGAAACATTGGACGGTCAACTTTTCAAATATATATAGGTAGAAACTAAATATATTTCTGCAGCTTCGTGATATGAATAGAAATAACAAGAGTGACTGACTTAAGCGTCTGCGTTTCGAAGCGGCTCTGATCGCCCACCCCCTTGCAAATCGCGCTATTCGCATGATAACAACATGATAATCTGAATGTTTGTGTTGGGTAAAGAAATATGTGAATACGCCCATTGTGATTGAAATAAACGAGCACATGCCTGGGTAGTCATAAATGATTTGAAGATATATCATGTCCTGATTGGTTTATCTTAATGGTATACAGTATTAGTGGGTTATACCTAGTAGATACCTTGTCATCCACATAATTCTAAGTTAGGGTACACACAGTATTGCAGAGTGCACGCACAATAAGCACACCAAACTTTCCAATACACATATACTGTATAGTTGCTTCTAATTATTATGAGCAATGACATCGGTCGAGGCGTAAGTCAGTATATCTACTATTCTTTTACAAAATGGCACATCCCAGACGTTGAGACAAACCATTGTGTGAGTACTTAAAAAATACTTTAAAGTAAATTTAAAAGTAAGTACTTAGTACTTTCACTTAAGTAAGATTGTTGATGTAGCGCTTCTACTTTTACTTGAGTACATATTTTGCAGGATATTTGTACTTTTACTTAAGTACTACGCTTCAGTACTTCCTCCACCACTGGTTGCAGGTGAGAAGAAATCCCTGAATACGAATAGCATCATTTAATGTTCATTGGAAATTAAATGCTGCGGCCATCTCCTGATTTTATTAAAGTCTCGGCAAATGAATGGGATGATGTTCCGATGATGTTCCGCCGCTGGGCTCCGGTCACGTTGATGGCACAATAGCCCTGAGAGAACGATCCACTTCCCTCCAAACTCATTGAGCCATTTTCAGTCTCATTGCCGCACCAGTTTGCCTAGGATGCTACATCACCAGCTGCCCATATTGACAGGACAGATGCCAGCTGCTGACCGTACCCCACAAACAGCATCACACGCCTCACACCCACAACAGGCCAACTTCAAGGTGTGGCCATTACTGTCAAACTGTGAAAATGAGCCTGGAAAATCGGACCTTTGTTCCACGAGCCCACTCCACAATGTGATAAACATTTATACTTTATAATGGGGAAACGCGAAACACGAGAGTGAATCTGATGAGCAGAGCATCATCCCGGAAGTGTTCTCCTCAAACTAATCATGAAAACTCCTGATGATGCTCGTGATGAGGCAGAGCACCCAATGGCTTTTTCATGCCGGTGTAAATGCAATTCCGCTCGGGAGCCGGAGCGCGGGCCCCTCTCCCGTGGATCGCCGGGCTCAAGCGGATATCACCCGCCCGTTGATGGGAAGCCTAATTAACATATTAATGATGCCACCTTCCTGCAGTTTCTGTCAGGCAGGCCAAACACTTTTGATAAGTATGCAGATGAGGGCAGGCCAATCTGAAGTATAAATTAGCTAGTGTAGAGTGTCTAAAGGACCTTGCGCTGATGGATCGGGCGATCGCGTTTATCTTCCTCTCGATCTGGCGCAGGGTGTCCGCGGTATACTGAAGGATGCATTCCGGATTGTTTCGCTTTTCCTATTGGAGGTGTCCTCAATGTATCAGGTCACATGACTCCCCATCACTTGCTGCTAGCAGTTGGTAGACAGGTTTGTGGGATGTAATCATCCACCCCGGGATTCTCTGCCAGGCGTAATACCAACACACCCGGGACGAATGCCGTTAATTACGACCCAGGCTGAAGCGTCTCAAAGCACAACATAACGCCTGACAGCGACATTTCGCCGAGGAGGTGCGGTAGTATAACGCGGACATGAATGGTTGATCCTGGGATTTACTGTCATGTTCATCATATCGTACAATTAGGGTGAATAATTAAAACGTTTCATTAGCTTGATCATTTCCTGCCAGCCCATACTTCAGCGTCGACATCCCAGATTAAGCCGACGACTGAAACAACGCCTCTCTAGTTTTTCCGTGTCTCCACGGAAGAAAAGAATACCGGATGGATCAAATGAAGGTTGGAGGAAAACGGCTTTAGCTAAAGTGACACCGTGGCCGTAGCTCCGCGTTTTGTGTCAGAGGAGATCCAACTTTTGGGGCTGTCTGGCGGACGCGGAGCCAGCGAGCGGAGAGGGATTGCTGGAGTCTGTTACGGGAGATATCACGACCCATGAATAAACATGAGGTGATTAGCGCCATTCTTCATAATGCCCAAAGTTCATACTTTACTATTTACCTTCGACTTAAAACCTCCGTTTGAAAGAGGAGCGTGATCATTATATTATAGCTTTTTTCCCCCCAAAATGATTCTAAAGTTTTGCGATGAAAATTTTGTAGAAGTCATGCTATTAATACCAAAATAACCATAAAATATATTTTTGAAATGTAGGTCAAAGCAGTTATTTTATGCAAAATATAGACATGTTTACATACCCCCGGCCAAAGAAACACCATCCCCTAATAAATACTAAGCTGCAGTATATGACGTCTACTCATCTTTATAATGGTGATATTAAGTCCATTTAATGTGTTTGTCAGATAAATTAAACGGGAGGGTAAAAAGTTGTTACTATATTATGGTAGATATAATATACTGTATACATATATGTATATACATTTATATATTTTTTTATTTTTATTGATAGTGTTTTAATGAAGTATCATTAATGGTGGCAGAAGCAGCCAATGTATTGATCAGAAAAAGCCTTAATGCTTTGCTGAATATACAGCATTTGACTTCAGTGTGTGGTTGTATGAATTAAGGATTTGCCTTTAAATGCACACAAGCTGAAATCACAGAGGGGGTTTGTGTGTTTGATGGAACACTGATGAGGTTCTGGGCCAGTCTGACGCCTACAGCCGGGATGCGGGTCGGGAAATGCAGAGGACACAGCGATGGTGCCAGCTCCGTGATTTCGGCATGGGTGGGGCAGCGTTTCCATGTGACCCCCTGGCGCTGCTGAGCCTGAGCCACGCTTCTCTCCGCATGTGCGGCGGCAGGGACGTTACCTTCGGTGCCGCGCGTACTTGCCACTGACGTGCCCGCTCCCATCGCAGCCTGGCGTCGGGCAGCTGCGGAAGAGGAGACAGGGTGCTAAGCCAGGGGTGTGGTGGAGAGACCCCGCTACCTCCCAAACCCCACCCACATAGTCAAACCCTGCCCCCATTCCCAATCCGCACCCCCCCAATGACCCTACTCTCACGGTCATGGTTGTTCCACCAGTATCCTTCCCAGGTGCCCATGTTTGCTATAAACTTATACATTTCATTATAACTCTTTCTTTGTAATAACTTTAAGTCAGCTAAGGAGGGCAGGCATCGAATGCTGTTATTGGCTGCATCGACGTCCGCTCCCCTGGACGGACTCGGTATCGACCATGTGATTAGCTGCCGTCTTCAGACCGAAACACTAGGAGAGCTGGAGGAAGAAGAACCGCTAATGCTTAGGAGCTCCAGAACGGGCGACCTTGTTCTGTCAACTAGAATACCAGAGGCACAGAGAGGCAAGTGTCCTTTATAAGGGCAAGATCCATTAGAACATTCCAGTAACCATAACCATAGATGGCAGAAAAAATGGCAAAACATAAGACAGCAGGCAGCAGGTGGACAGACGAATCACCCAGAAGCAGAAGGACGCTTTGAGGTCGTGCAGCAGAGGGGAGACAGCATGGCGGACAGACACCAGCAGTGTCGTGAGCTCTGCTCCCAGAGCCATTGCTCACCGAATCGCAAACTCCATCCCAGCACTTCTAATTATGCAGGTCACGCTGAGGTTAAATCTCAATCGGAACATGTGTGTGAACACATTTATAGGTGCTATAAACTCTGGCATGTTCCCATATCTGTCATCTAGTTAATGAAGTGGCAAAAAACAACAAACAAGGTAACGTTAATGAATAAGGGGTGCTGGGATGGTCCGTGGTCCTCGGAATAACTAGCTTATGTTGTGTCTGGTGATCCATACGGCTTGTTTACAGCAGGGGTACGGCCTGGGATTTTTTTGTGTGTATTTTTAGATGAGTGGTGGAGCTCCTTTTGAAGAGGGTGGCTGCGAGGGCACTCGGATTCGCCGGGCAACCCACTGGCTAAAAGCCAGAAAGGGGTCACCTCCGAAGCCGTTCAGCCAACAGTCGGAATGCGGTTGGCGACAACCAGGGAATTCTGCCTGGGATTGTGGAATCCTGAGCGAGTGAGGGGTGGGAGACATCGGTAATGCCGCTGTGTTACAGAGGAAATTGCTCCAGAATGTTGCCCCCGTCAAATAAAAATACAGAAAGGATGATGAGAGAAAAGTGTGAGGTTGCTGGGGGAATAGTGGGTGGTGGGCAAAGCGATGATTTTGGAACGAGGATGAGGACCATGTGTCTGATGGATATTTCTCCTCAGGGGTGATATTTAAGTGCAAAATGGGGGGGGGGGTGTTCTGCTGTTCCCAGTAATGTTCTAGTTTCCTCTTCTTGTCAAGGGGTGGGGAGTTGGGGCAAGGTGGGGGTACATTTTTCACTTGCATCCCTACTAACCTGAAGAGCTCTTGGATTGCCGGTTCCACAGGCACTGAGAGAGGGACAGGCGAGAAGAGAGAGAGAGAGAGAGAGAGAGAGACATAATCACCAAGCAGACAGAATTTTTTTTGCCTATATGGAAATGACAGACACAGCGGTCGCAGTGAGCAGACTGCTAAGAAGGAAATGGAGGGTGGTGTATGGGTGCCGGGGTCGGGGGTGGCTGGATGGGCAGAGGAGTGTGTTTTGGGGGGGTGGGGGTGGGGATGCTGGATGATGGACATACCCCGGATACCTTTGGAGCGAGTGCGATGTCGCTTCTCATCTGCGTTCACCTCCATCTGGGGAGACACGAGAGGCAGGTCAGTGGGTGCAAGGTCAGCCTTCCCACCCCCCCCACCATAGCTACACGCGCGCACAGACAGGCACGCACACACAGAGCCCATCAACCCCACGTTCGACATCGAGAACCTTAAGGTTCACGCGTGGGACTCCACAGCCGTCGGCGCGGTCTGTATTTAGCGTGCCGCCATCTGGCAACATGCCCACGCTCACCGTGAACCTGCCGCTACATCCACACACCCTCAGCCATAACACCCTCAGCCATAACGCCACGCCGATTTTCAGCATGGAACACGAGCCCCAGCGGCCTCCAAACCCCCGCAAATCTGCTCGTGTAAAATGCCAATAGCGCCTCCTTAAGGACACTGTCGGTGCTGTTTGGTGTGAGAGGGCGACCATGTCACAATATAGCAAACTATCCAAAATACTCAAGGAAGACACTTAGCTAGCTATAAATAATGCAGCAAATGAAGTCTTAGCACATAGACTGACACACACACACATGCACACACACACACATGCAAGCACAGATGTGTACACACACATACACTCATGCACATGCACACACACGCACACATACACACACACACGCACACACACTCACTGACAAAGAGACAGTCAACATAAATGAAATTTCCCATAGTTCCCCACCCTCTGTGTGCCCTTTACAAGGGTATATATCCACATGAAACAAGACGGCTTTATGACAGTGACATAAGCACTTGTCTGGCCTGAGATGCGCCCGCATATTAGCTTCAGCGCGCCGGGAGCGCCGATGACAGGCTTTTAGCTGCGCTGCACGGCTCCCTTTCATCCTCCAGGAGAGGAAAAAAAGAACAAAAAGCCCCAGAGTGCGACGATGGCACCGGTCTGGGAGGCGGCACGCGGGCCCAGCGAGGTCACCCTCCTCCTGGGGCCCTCCCCTCCCTGCGGCAGCCCGGCACGGCGGCACTTGTTTGCACTCTGCTAATGCTGGCCTGCTGGCACCCTCAGCACAGCTTAGCGTAGCGTAGCTCAGCACAGCTTAGCGTAGCGCACCCCCGGCTGCTCAGCCACAGACCTGCACCCCATTAATCTGCGTGATTCCAAAAACCCAACAGCGCCCCCCTGAGAGATGGGGGAGCAAAGTATGGCTCAGCAAGTTAGGCCTCTGTGCCTGCAATCAGAAGGTTGCTGGTTTGAATCCTGTCTTTAGCAGAATAATCACATGTCTAGTACTTGTCCTCTAATCCCAAGCTTCACTCTCATGTGTATGAATGTATGTGTGTGTATAAATATAGATTTGTGTGTGTGTGTCATAAAAGGAGAGCAAGATGGCATATGCTAAAACATGTAATCCAATATACCTGTATTTGTGCAAAATGTCAAATGAAGTGTCCTTATTTTAAAACCATCCTAAAGAAGTGACATTTACCCCCAATTTGGTGTGAGATCAGAAGATAGACCGGGTCTGACTTAGCTGACCCTTGATAAGCCCGATAATCATCCCGCGACATTTAATACGCGAGCAGGGCTGCTCGGTGAGACGCGTTCCTAGCCCGGCCGTCACCGGCGCGGGGTGATGCGCGTGTCAGTAAACGGACCTGCGCTGATCAATGTGCTGAACACAGGCTTTCATTAAACTGTCAGCTGGGGTTTGTCAACATAACAATAAGCCTGCCTGTGTAATGTATACACATATAGTATCACATCTCCTTCTGTATGCGCTGTATACGTTTACAGCAACAATACTGCATGTCTGTCCATCAACAGTGACATCATCATCTCAGTCTATATAGATATATACTGGGGTACTCTGGTATATATATAACACCTTTATACAATATATTCTGTCACAGTTTCATTCTACTTCAGTGAACTGGATATGGATGAAACTGGGAGGATCCTGAATGGTTTCAGGCCCATTGTATTAAAAGTGCTTACGTTTATTCTCGTTAAATATGATTTAATAAAGCCGTACTTAATCTTTAGGCTTGATGGGGTCTTGATATTTTCACAGGAGCCTGTAAACTGAAAAAATAAAACATATGAAAGTGAACAAAAACATAATAAATCTGCTTTATTATCCTGACAGACAGCGGCACGTTCCGGAAAGGCCTCAAATACTTATGCACAAGCGTTGCCCTTTTTCTATGGCAATCGATGGAGATCCTACCTCTGTTAAAACTAACAACTTATCAATCCAACCCAATGCCCCCCCTCCCCCCATGGTCTACCTCCTGATGGGCGATTCGGGAAGTGACATTTGGCATGAAAGAGAAAATAACACGAAGTGACAGCCCTGGGAGGGATGGTGCCCACACCGTTACGACGCAGCTCCTCTCTCGTGCTGTGGCAGCACATCCTGTCTGAGCGCGCGGCTTTCCGTTCTGTCTGTCCGTCTCTGAGAGACTGCCGGATCATCGCCGGCGAGTTCGCACCTGCTCGCAGACCGGAGCCACCATTTGTTTGGCATAAAAAAAATAATATCCTGGAAATCCCGGTGACAAAAATACCACAAAGGGAAGGATTTAAATTGTGTTTGCATTCGATTTAGGAACTTCATTTCCGGCACAGTGTCAGTGCGGGCTGTTCCTCTACAGCATGCCCAAGACCAAAGCTTGGAAGCATCTTATTCTGAGAGAGAAAACCCAGATCAGAGAGAAATGGACCCCCGCATGGCTCATAGAGAGATGGAAGGGTGAAGGTACACACACACACACACGCACACATACACACACACACACGGGCTGTCCTAGTGGGTACCAGCTTTATCCCCATTACCCAGCAGGAAAACAGAGGCCATCAGGCACAGACTGGCCATCTGGAAGTTGGGGGATTTTCCTGCTGGGCCAGTCTTGTGAGGGTCGGCCTTTCTTCCACAACCCTGGCATTATAGGGCCTATATGCCAGGGCTGGCCTGGCATTATACAGCCTATACTGTATACCAGGGCTGGCCTGGCATTATACAGCCTATACTGTATACCAGGGCTGGCCTGGCATTATAGGGCCTATACTGTATACAAGGGCTGGCCTGGCATTATAGGGCCTATATACCAGGGCTGGCCTGGCATTATAGGGCCT